CAACATGTCCAAAGGGCTCAGAGTGGGATTGTTATCAGACACGTTGGTTCTTCAGGTGATTTCGTGTTGCCGAATAACAGATGAGCTCCGCGTGGTTCACAAAGGCTCTTCTACTTGATGTTAGTGGTGATGTTTGGGCCGGTTAGGCAGCAGCGTTTGTTTAATTCAACCCTTTCTGAACAGAGTTCTGCAGCACACGTCACCGTCAGGCTGAGCGCTTATAAGCAGCTGCTTGGTTTGCCCACGTGGGGGCGCTGTGGCCCACAGAGCCACCGGTTAGTTCTGTGACGTCACATAAGTGCGTTTTAAGTGTTTAAAAGACACTAGAACACAACACACTGAACTAAACCAGAGACGTGTGTGGGACAACGTCCTGTAAGAGGACAACGAGGGAACTCGTGTTGATGTCCAGCAAGGGGACGTTGTCCCTCCAGATGTTAGTCCATCGTGTCCAGAGGCGCTGACGTTCTCAGTGAACTACAAGCAGGAAGTGAACTAATCCCACATGTGCTGCTGCTCGATGACTGAACCCGTTGTTGTGAACAAGAAGAGGCTCTTTAGTCACCAAAGAACAACAGTTACTTCATTATCGTGGCTCCACTGACCTGTGATTGACAGGTGACATCACGTCACTACCTGAGTTAAGACCATGACGTCACTACAAGGCTCACCGCTACTTGAGCTTCTCTGCATGGCCTCAGCGCGCTGCATCGTGCCGCCTTCACTCACGTGTCATTCAACATGATTGACAGCTGTATGAACAGCAGCTGAGGGGCGCGGAGACGTTCCTGCAGCAGGAAGAACGGAGAGAACTCAGAGCACCAGTAAAGGTCTTCAGGGAGCCCCGGTGGTGGAGCTCAGTGGTTCCATTAGCGCCTCGGTCCAGGGGAAGCTTCAGGAGAACGGCTGGTCATGGACGGGTAATAAGCAGCAACAGAAACATACGAGAAGACTGTCCACAGCTGCATCATGAGGGACCTCTGTCCTCGTGTCCCCTGTTGACTGGACGACACGTGGAAGCAGCTGAAGGTCCTGATCTCCACTCTGCTCGTATTAACCTCCCAACGTGGGGCCCTTTCTCAACGATGGGACGCAGAGGACGGACTTGCGTTCTGGGGAGAACAGACTCGGGGGTCCTGACTCACGGGGACAACAGAGGACGCTCATTTCATGGGACAGCAGCTGCCTCGATGACGTCAGCTGCTCTGAAACATTTGAATACGCTTCTTGACTGTCGGGTGTTTAACTATCACGCTTTTGTTTGCTTCTCATTTCAAATAGAAACGCTGTGTGTGACGGAGCAGCAGAGGAAACTAATTCACAGTAAATATAAATATCAGACATGAAAGTGTCTCAATGGAGCAGATCAGAGTTGTTAGAGCCTCGAGGGGCGAAGAGCAAAGAGGAAAAGGGCGGCGTTGACCCTGAACACCCGTCCACAGCAGCACAGAGAGAACGGCCCCCCCTCACCCACTGAGGGACGCCGTGCACATCAGGAGCCCAACGACACGACCAACGTCCAACAAACAGGCGTTTAAAAAGGGCGGCAGTGCTACTTTCTGCACGGACGCTTCAGCTTCACCATCGGTGAGATGCTCTGTGTTTCAGTGTGTGTGTGTTACTCAGCTTCACTGTGTTCTATTTGTAGCCGTTTACCTGCTTCATCTTCCTCCGTCTGGATGTAGCGTGTCCTTCAAGACAAACACACAAAGTGAAACTATGTCTTTGTGATGACGGCTTTAAAGCAACATTTAGTGACTTCGATGAAACGTCTCACTGTCTCTTGACTGTAGAACACGAGACATAATCTACACGTCCACAAGGAGACACGTCCTGGCTCGACTGCTTTCTGTCCCGACATGTTTTACTGCTCATCAGTAGCTGAAACATGCCTCTGAAACAGCTCATAGGATGTTTAGATCAGACGTGTCACTGGCAGTGATTGACAGCTGTGTTGGAGACTCCAGGTTCTGATTGGTGGCTTTCCTTTGGGCGCAGTGAAACGTGCCAAAGGCCATTAGGAGCACTAAGCGCAGGCCGAGCATCCTGATCAGCATCACTTTTGCCTTGTTGACAAGTCGTCTTTTCCTCCTGCAGGAAATCCATATGGAGTGTGTTGGAATGAGTGCGAGCTGCAGTTTTGACAGGAGACGCTCCAACGTTTGAGGCCGGAGGACATGCTGTGGAGAACCATGATGTCCACTTTAGGAAAAAGATATTCATTGACTGCTGTAAAACGTCTCTCTAGCGTGTTGTGGGGGATATTAGCTTATAAAAACAACAACATGTGAAGATAGTTCTTTCAATCTTGTGTCAAATCAAAACTGAATCATTTTGACTGCAAACCCTTGATGCTGCTTTTAATATTACATGTATTTGTAAAGAAAGTGTAATTCAGTAGATATTTAGCTAACTTTTAAATATTTTCCAATGATGAGTTTATTCAGTTATGACATCATAGCATTATTATTATTATTATCTCATCAGAACTTTGATTGGACTCTGCAGTGTTTTTTAAAGGTTGTTAACAGAAAACGCTGATACCAGCTATCTAATGGCAGCTAACGTGCTACTCAGCTAACGGTGATTTACAGCAATGACTCATAGTGAAAGTAAAACGGAAGTGACATAGATCTCACGTGAGGGGTTTCCACAGCCATTTGTGAAGAAGACAGAGAGGGACATTGTCTGTCTTCATGTACCACTTGCACACCTCAGGTACCGTTAATCCGATCCGTTCATCCTGCTCCATCAGTTCTGGGGATTCACAACGGTCAACAGGGACGAAATCCAGCCAATCCAAGGACGAAAAGTGGAACCAATCAGACGTGGCGATGCCGGTGACTGGCTCCGCCCCCTTGCTGTCAATAACAACACCTTCGAGCGCGAGCAGAGATTAAGATTAAGTTCACGTCCACGATGTTTGATTCACGCGCATCAACCGGATTTGCCGCCAAACTCTTTGTCTTGTAGCTCTGGTTTTGCTGAAGCATCAACAGAAGAGAAAAGGGGCGTGTCTAGAGGAAGCAGGTGAGGAGGCGTGGCCGTTCATCCTGCTCCATTCCTACACAGCTGATCCACATTCCATGATCCACCCCTGCAGTATTTAGAGCCGGGCTGTTCACCTCTCCAGTGGCACCTTGTTAATACTCCTACGTGGTAACGTGGCTCAGTAGCTCTGCTCGTGTTGTCCAGCAAACTCCTGTTCTGTAGTTCTTTCTGTGTGACTTCAGTTCCTCTGTGCACATTCTGCTGTTTACTAGTGACGGCCAGATGAAGCTTTATGAAGCAGTGAAGCTCTATGAAGCTTTATGAAGCATTGAAGCTCTATGAAGCAGTGAAGCTTTATGAAGCAGTGAAGCTCTATGAAGCTTTATGAAGCAGTGAAGTTTTCCAGCCAATCGTATCGTAAAAAGGTTCATTCATTCAATGCATCTCAAACTCTATGATGACGTCTGCTGTTGAAAACTTGTAGTGCAAATGTATCGAACAGCCCACCAGTATATTTTGGCTCAATCTCTGATTATGAAAAGTTGAACCAATAAATCATCTAATAAACACATGGATTCCTATATGAACAAAACTATTGTTTTCAGGTTTGACTTGTGTCCTTGTTTGTGTATTTCAATTCTCTGTACATTAACAAGAAGTGGAACACACACTTATCTATGTCTTTCTGCACCTTTGTGCATCATATACATACTAATATATACAAACAATACATATATATATATATACAAACCTTTACCCGAAGTACAGAAAGCACAAGACCCACCAGAGAGTCACCAAATAGCGCTTAACTACTACCGGACTAGGAGAACACCAAAATAGCCGAGGCTACAATTAGCGTAAACAAAACGCTAATCCTCTTCTCGCCTCCTCTGATTGTGCTTCCTTTCCTCTTGGTCTTTCCTCATTGCTCGAGTCACGCTGACACGCTGCCCGGAGCTTTCGGGCCTTTCGTATCGGGCGAGCAATGGCGCTCTGACGCCGGTGTCAAGTCTCTGACGGCGTCGGACCCTCTTCTTTGGGATGCGCCCTTTGGATGAGGACGTTTTGTCCCAAGAGCTTTCATCGTCATCTACACATGAGGAACAACAGAAGGGAACATTTGTAGTGAACTAAAGCCACCGGCTGCGTTAAATGGTCTTATTTCATCCTTTCACGGCTCAGACACAAAAGACACCGTAAGAAAAAGGTCCCAACAGCGTGAATCAGAGGTTTATCTCCAGGTACCCACTTCTCCACCTGACAAGTCCAGTAAACCACCAACACCAGTTAATGCAGACGTCTGTCTGGATTCCCCACTTACCTCGAGTCCTTTTAGGGCCACAGAGTCATTGTGGCCTTTTCTCAATGTTCGCCCACTGCAAAAAACCTGTGTGCAGTTCCAAGGCTGCTAACTACCTGACCCGCGAGTGTTCTTAAGCTGTGGAGAACGGAACATGGACATGGAAGTTAGAACACGGAAGGTGGAACGTGGAGAGTCAGTGAGGCCTTCTGGAATATGCAAATGACCATTCAGAGTGAGTTATTTTATGGAGAGGTATAACTCTATTTGCATTGCTCTAAAAAATATGGTTGTACGTTTTATTTGTTTTTAGCTGATGGAGCCATCTGCTTACTTGAATTATGTTTTTGTTTCTTTATTTGAAAAAACATAGATGGAGGAGCCACAAAATTCAACATGGACCATTTTGTTGGGGCATGAACGTCTTTTTTCACATTTCCAAAGTACTCATGGACACGCAGCCCTTCAGTATTGTGGATGATTCAGGGCATTTGTGTCCAAACTGGATCCTCTGGGGACGGCAAACTGTACCGTCTGGGGACGGTATCTGGGGACGGCAAACATGAAGCTAATTTAATGAGCTAATTTAATTTAATGAGCTAATTTAATTTAATGAGCTCCCGCTTTCCACCGGCCCACTTGGCACGTGAGTTCATCCAACTTGTGTTTCAAACAGTGACCTCTGTAATGCAGGTAAATACCATGTGACGGGGGCTTCTGTCCGCACGTGAGGGGCACATGCACATGTGACCCGCCATGAATACGTCCCCTGCAGACGGGGACACTGAGCCGGCTGTCAGTCCAAACAGTCGCACAACTGGAGGCAACAACAAGTCGGCCAGAAAACTCTACTGATTCTGTTCAGACTTCATTCTTTAACTATCCCCACTTTCTTTGTGCAGCATCAGGATTTGCTCCTCTGACGTGTGTGTTTTCCAGCAGTGGGTCTAAGCCTCCTTTGTAGTTGACACATCTTTTTCCTTCAACTGTGTTCACTCCTCCGTGTCCATTCAAACACGTCCTCGTCTCTCCGTCTTACGGCCGACTGCGTCAATGACTTCGGTCCCTGATGGATTAAAACATGGACGCTGCACACGTGGAAATGCTAGCAGGCGCTTTTGTGTCCATCGTTCAGGCTCACGGTCCCAGAATGCACTGCGCACTGCCGTCCCAGCGGCTGTTGGCATCACTGAATACAAAGGAGTTCAGAATGAAGAGATCCTGAAGGATGAGCTGCCGGTCCTTGGTGCCCCGGACACCATGGAGAAGACTGCCAGCAGGTCACACACACACACACACACACACACACACACACACACACACACACACAGCGGCCTTTGCTTCATGTAAATGTATCATTCACATGCCAAATGAAGCTGTGATGAAGGGAAACGTGGAAGAGGAGCTTTGCTTGCTGCCTTTGCTAAACAGATGGTGTCCTTTACTTTAAGTTTTACTCGCCACACATAGAACAGGCTTTACACTTCCTTTCATGGCGTTCTAGCCAATTGTTTAGAATGTGCTTTGAGACGGGACTTCAACCCACAATCTACGTCCACTGAGTGAGACAGAACCCAGTTAGAAAAGAGCGCTGCAGCTTTCTTTGCAGTGACATTAACTGTGAAACTGCTGATTTGACTTTGACATTACCAACTGCACTGCCATGTAATATGGGCGCACGTATTATACAGCCCAGATTGTGCTAATCACTCCCAAACCATCTGTGGGAGATATATTCTACCTATAGATTATACAGCTCCCCAGTCCAGCGTTTGGGACGGTCTGAATGGAGGGCAGATGCTGCTGGGCCTCTATGTGTTGCAGGTTGTCTTGTGAAGCAGCTGGAAAGGGTGGAGGCATCTGTGGTGGAGCTGAAGAGAAACCTGGACTACGCCGCCTCAGTCCTAGAAGCTCTGTGCATTGAGGAAGCCAGGCGAGAGATTTCACTTCTGCTTTTCTCAAATAATCCATGAACATGAAGAAAAAGGGATTTTAAAATGATTTTCTTGAATTCTTTCACGATCGGCAGCTAAATAGACCTTTGAGCAGAGGTGGAGGAGCACGTAGAGAAATGGCCAAACGCAAACGTTTGTCTTAAAAAACAAACCTGTGGAGCAGAGGAGTCCACAAAAGGTACAACAATCCAAAGAATCCAAGGGGAAACATTGAAGTGTAAAAGCAGAAAGCAGGGTGAGGTTCAGGTTAACACATCATCCTCATGCACGCAGGACTTTATGGACACAAAGGGTTTCTTCCCGTCGGCAGTCGGCTCATCAACAGAGCGCGGCTCCCCCAGCGTTTAATGGCACACGGTACTGGGCCATTCCAGTAGCACGGTGGCTTCCTCACTCATTTATAAATCACAACGGGATCATTTACACACAAGCTACGTCGTCTTAAGCATTTTGAAGCTAAAGTAAAGCACTCTAAATATCTTAAGACTATATTAACTGCAATACCCCGTAAATTGGTGAAAGGCAATTAAATATTGTATGTTAGTAAGTAAGATCGTCCATGGATGATGAATAAATTACAATTACATTATCATTCATTCATATTATTTTACTACTAATTAGTATTTAAATGATTCCATTAAGTCTGTGTGTATGTTTTAGTAATATATTTAATTTAACGAGTAACTCGTGGCTCAATACGGTTTCCAAGTTTCTAACCCAGAATTGTTTAAATTCTTGCTGCACAATGTTGCGAGCCTTATTCCTTATAGGACAGTGGGACCCTGCACATGAATACAGAAGACCAGCAGGCAGTTACTAGTTAGTTACACAAAAGATGGCCGACCTGAAGGTAAACCAGTAGTCAACTCTCGTCTTGTGGAAGTTGTAACAAAATGACGGCAGGACGTTTCAGTTAAATGTGAATGTGTCTGAACGCTGGTAAATACGCGTCACATCAGCCACGTGGTCAACGTGTGACACAATCGGTTGGGAAAATCTGACAAGCCGCGTTCTACACAATAATTGAATTGTGTGCTCATCGAGTAGTGAATAAGACAATCCCTTCAATTTGTTGATGAAGATCATCAATCAGCAGCTTTGGCGAGAAGGTGTGATCTTTTTTCTGGCTTTTAGTCTGATGCGTGTCTCCTTGCAGGCGGCTGGTGGATCCAGAGGACCAGCTGGGTGACATCCGGTCGGACTCGGTGCCGTCAGAGGTTCGGGACTGGCTGGCTTCCACTTTCACCCGGCAGACGGCTGTGATGCTGCGCCGTAACGAGGACAAGCCACGCTTCCGCAGCATCGTTCATGCAGTGCAGGCCGGCATCTTTGTGGAGAGGTTTGGCTTGTTTGGTGTATTTGATGCAACAGTCATGTGGAATATTTGGCCCTTCATAGTTGTTTAGTCATGATGTGTGATGTTTGTTTCAAGGTTTTCCCATTTAACATGAATGATATAACACAGATAACATAAAGGGTTCATTGGTACTAATAATAAAACTCTGCATTATCCTCGTAGCTGAATAGGGTACAAACATGGTGGACTCCACTGGGTGATTGTTTGCTGTTGATGGTCAAAGCCAGCAGGGATACGCGTTACTTGTACGTGGTGCAACTAAGCCAATCAAATGTCCTCTTAGCTCAAACTAACCCGCTGACTGAAACCATGCTAGCTGATCCAGCTTAATGTCATCAACTGGAACCAGACGTCAGTCATCAGGATAATTGTGTGTCCGCGTCCTACTTCAAAAGGGGGAAGAGTCGATCAAATCAACTCAAAGGAAGAGGCTCTTTTTTCTCCGCTGACGAGCAGGAGGGGATCATGAACGCACCATATAGAACCAGGAGTTTGAATATGTGTGTGTGAATCAGCATGTATGTGTGTATTCCCTCTATTCTTATCATGAGTCCACCTTACTCATATTCTATAAAGATGATAAGTTCCGTAATGAATAGTGATAGGAACGCCTTTTCAATAAGTGATGAAACACTGAATGACTCAATTACCTGCAGTTCCATAAAAGCCCTCTTTGATTGCATTTACTGGGACATCGGCAGGGAATGTAATGAACCATCCAGAAGTTTCTCAAGCGCCAAATAAACTTCAGGAACAGCGCGGCGTGCAGCGGCTTTCCCCGTGTTCTCCGCATCCCAACAATGTACACAAATGCACCGTTGAGACACATCGTCCTGCCTGGAATGCAAGGACTCGATTGGTCGATTGGTATCACGTGGGACGACTTAACTCTGGACATAATGGCGAGGGACACTTGTTAGGATTTTATCAGCTACTGTCCATACTGCTTATCGGTCAGGTTCCTTATTGATACTATATGAATTATTAAGTCACAAATAGAAGATAATAAAAAATCCACATGCTTAATTGATTCCCTGTTGCTGGTAGCGTGAAGGGACTTGATGTGGGACCAGGAACGGTAGAGGGGGGGTTGGACGTGCTGGGTCATAGCTGCAGCCTCAGCCCAAAAACTCTCCATCACCAAAGCCATTATCTTAAGTTCCTCTCTAAGTTTTTTTGTCTTATACAGAGAACTCTTCCCTTGAACTCAGCCGTCCACCTTTTAAAGCACGTCCACAAAAATAATAAGAAAACAGTATCCAGTTCAGCAAAAAAGGGACAAGTTGTGAGACGCTGTAAGGACACAGAGTCAAGGACATAATGCTCAAACATAGATATTCAGATTATATTAAAAGCCCCAGTGGGAGATATTCCACTGGAGTCAGTGGAAGTGGTGGTGGATGGTTAGAAGTCTTGTGAGTTTACAATCAGCCAATTAAACGTTAAACATTGAACCGTCCAAAACCGATGCTCAAAAGGAACTTAAAGCATCATCATTTTAGGCTTCCTCTAACACACTAAGGAAGCATCGCTATCTGACCAGTAATAAGCAAACATGAACTGGGATCGATCTGATAAATACGACAGAAACCAGCTGAATGTGGTTCCATTCGTGTGGAATATTGCTATATTTCTTCAGCAGTAACATATAAACTGATCTCAACCCACAAATCCATAGATTTTGCAGGTGCAGGATAACAAAAGAAGCTAGAATTCAATAACGAGTTCCCAGTTGTTAAATTCTATATCAGTACAAAATCCTCCAGACTAAATTGTAACTGGTGTTTTTATGTTTTCTTATCGATTGTACCTTAACAAAGGAATCCTAGAAATGAACAGTTGAACCGTTATGTGGACATTCACGTGCTAATAAAGCTTCTGTGTGTCTTTTCTAGCATGTGGACATGTGGTCTTTTGATGTGTTTGCACTGAACGATGCTAGTGGGGACCACGCTCTGAAATTTGTCTTCTATGAGCTATTCACCAGATATGACTTGATCAACCGTTTCAAGGTATGTCCATTTTGACAAGACGCTGTGTATGTAATGAGCACAATGTCAGTGACAGCAGAACTAAGTATCGATGGGAACGTACTGGGTTCAACAGAACAACTTCTCTGTATTGCTTCTACAATTCTGCAAAGCAACTGGTTGTTTCTTGTCTTCTGTTGAAGGTCCCTGTTTGTGTCCTCATATCCCAACAAGCACAAGCACCACCCAACCTAATTTGCGTTGAAATAATGCATCAACAATCCCTCATGACGGCTGTCTAGGGACTATAGCAGCACCACATGTACAATGCAGACATTGTGTTATTAAAACGTACCTCCACGTGCCTGTGGGTCACTACGGGGGTCAGAAAGCTGCATGGGGGCAAGGCCGGGGCTGGATGGGACTCGCCGTTAGTCTACATGTGCTTTGTGGACGGAGAAGGCTTTTGACTCTCCAATTGGTGACTTTCATGGACAGGATATCTAGGCGCACCCGGGGGTGGAGGACCTCGGGCCGGGGGTCTCCATCTCCTCTCTGCTGGTGCTGATGTGATGTTGTCCTGTTGGCCTCCTCGCACAGTGACCTCCAGCACTCAGTGAGGCACTTTGCACCAGATCCTCTTGGTGAAGAGCTCTATTTGCTTTCATTTGAGTTGAGGTGCTACTGGAAAACAACCAAGGTGGTTCAGGCACACTGACAACTGGCAAAGAGACTCTGTGCTGGTTCACTCCAGCAGGAG